TGGATAGGAAAGTCGCTGAAAACCTAAAAAGGCTAATATATTAACTAGAAAGAAAGATAAGTATACAATGTGTGGAAGGGCCCAATCATGACACCCTGCCCACACAAAAACCACAAATGTTCCAAAACTAGAAAATACAGAAAAGTACATTAGAGACTTAAAGAAAAAATCTAAAAGTGTCGAAATACAAAATATCAGGTGGCTAAAGAGCGATTCAATTTGGTCTTACCCCTGCCTCTAGTTCTAAGGAATGAGCAAGCTAATAAGTTGGTAAGGTGATTGCCATTGCCAGTAGTAACTAATGTATCATCCAATATGTTCCCGAGCTGGAGTCGGACCCCTGCCATTCTTCATTCGAAGATTGACTCACCTGATCTTAGTCTAAATTGTGCTGGAGATGCGCAGATTGTTGAACATTAGAAGAAACTACATGTTGTACCTGCTGATCTGTTATTCGATCAAAGGAGCACTCTTGTGTGTCTTGACATGTAAGTGAGTTTTCTTCAATAACAGTGAGTGGTATAAGCACAACTGGATCTGTAGTTGTAGTATGGTGTTCTTCGTCAAGAACTGCAGTGTTGGAAAGAGGATTGGGTTGCTTCTTCTCGATGATAGATTGCTGATCTTTAACGATATCCGACTTTAGATGAGGATGCAAACGATAACAAATAGTAGAGCTGTGGCCAAACATATTGCAATGAGAGCAATAAGGTGGGTGTGGTTCTATTTCAACCTTTTGTCAATATCCGTTGTGAGTGGTTCCAATCCATATCTCATCCGGAGCTGGTTAAGTGATATCCCTCTCAACTAACACAAGTCAAATAAGGTCTGGTGGGAGACTTACCGTAAGCAATTGCTAAGGAGTAGAGAATTTTCAAGTTGAACAGATGTAATTTTAACCCTGGAAACTTTATCCAAACTGGAATGATAGGGGATTCTTCTTTTGGATCAAAACCAATAGTCCACTTAAAAATTTTTATATAACGGTTATCGATCTTGATAACTTTCCGAGAAAAAAATGCGAGTGTAATCGACTTCGTGAGACAACTGAATCAGTATGTGTTGACCGTCAATTAAACCAATATTCCAACTGCCCAATAGCTTCATAACATTAAATTCTTTTCGAATGATCTCAAGTTTTGGATGACCATAAAGAAATTTTTTCACTAGAGCAAAACGCCACGAGGATGCAAGAGTGCTGGTTTCAACCTCTGTGAGAATAAGAGCAGAATCCTTTTTTTTTCTCAATTTTTTAATGAAGGTGTGATCGCCACCACCTTCAAGAGCCTCGTGAAATGATTATGGCACATTGCAGGATTTACCTATACGAAAACCAGTCTCTGAATCTGAAAGAGGAGCACGAGTATGGATAGGAAAGTCGCTGGCAATTGCAGTGGCATAGGAACGGAACGTCGATGCCATCTCCAGAGCAGCTAGGCGAGCCGTTGGAAATAGGCGTGCAAACTCTAAAATATATAATATATAATAATTTTTAATTCTAAAATATATATAATTTAATTGAACCTATCAATCAAATAATGTTAATGCAAGTATTTTCTTTTTAAATATAATATTTTAAATTAAAATTAATGAGGCTTTTGATTCTTTGACTTCTAGAAAAGTGAATAGATACTAAATTTTGAATATTAGCTTAATTATAAGCTTCTCCTCCCTTAAATTTTTATTTTTATAAACTCGAGCTTTTTCTATTTTTTATTTCTTTTGATCATTATTTCCCCCTTTCTTTTGCCAATGATTACTATATCTGGTTAAGCTTTTCCTTACGGATTTTGATTATCAATTCTTTTTTGAGTTAAACACTCAATAACTTTCTGATTTAATTCAAAGTATTGTAGTTCAAAAAACACTAAACATAATTAAATTATTTAGATTGATAATTTATTAAATTTTATATATTTGATGAATGAATTTTATATGTAGTCAACTACTCCAATTATTTAAGAATTCTTATAAAAAATAATGATTAAGTATAGTGAGAGGTCAGTTATTTGTGAATTAATAATTGATTTCAATTCTGAATGAACTTTTGTGTCAATTCTAATTATTTTCTTTACCTAGTGTTAACCTACAATGAATCCTATTTGAGTCTACCATTTTATTTGAAAGTCTAAAATTTTGATATTTAATATTTACCTTAAGGCCAAAATAAGTCCAATTCCCCTCCCAATCTTTTTTTCTACGCTAATCATAATAATAGCAATACAAGGACATGAAAAAAACTACATATGCAAGAACATGTAATTACATCGCAATAAAGTACTAACAAGAATAAGCTCACATAATAATGACATGATTCCGTAAGTTCACATAATATAACAAAATAACTGCAGGAAAATTAATAAATCATGATTCTGTAAGTTCACGTAATATAACAAAATAACTGCAGGAAAATTAATAAATTTTAACAAAGCTTACATGTTCTTAACAAAATAACAGCAGGAAAATTAATAAATTTCACATATAGGTGGGCAATTATCTAATATCATTAGCATAATACATATTTGAGAACTATGCTTCTAAAAAAAATGTTTCTGTTACTAATTTTTTCATCGTAGCCAACATTGTCATATAACCCCAATATTCTCAAAAAAAAAATTCTTGTGCGATATAACTATCTATGAAATAAAAGGTGATAATCAAATCTAATGCTAAATCATCATTTGATTCACAAAGAAGCATAATAGAATATGATGCCAACTGCAATGATGCAATAAATAATACACCCAAGAGTGTAATAAAAGGTAGACCATAAAATTTATAAAAAATAGATAAAATTTATCAAGTCTATAGTCATGATTGGTATCAAATAAAAAATCATTTTTTTATCATTATGAAGAGTAATCTCTTTAAACTCTCTCCAAATCCATGATATTTTCTTTTTATGATTTCAATTAGATTTATAGGGTTGAGATCTTTTTCATCGTTGTCAATATTCTCCCGATTAACTTCATATTCACTTAAACAGTTATGATCATTTAAATTTCTATGATCAATTTCATTAACAAGTTGGACTTTAGCAACCGAGGTCTTATTTTCTTGATTCAATGGCTCGTTTTCCTTGAGCAGTGTTGTTGGCTTTTTAAATGAAGAAAGGTGATGAACATTATATGACAAATTTGAATATTATCATATACATTTAACTTATCATTGTAAACAACGATATTGCATAATCTAATCAACGATTGTTTATTTGAAGACTGAAGTTGATGCAACTTATAATATTGATTTTTTAAAAATATTTGAACAAATTTATTGATAATATGATAAAAAAAAGAATAATCTGAAAGTTTTTTTAAATGGAATACCCACATAAGAACTCAAGTATGAAATGGTTGATGAGAATGCTAATAAATTATTTGTTATTTAAATAATAACCTGAAATAGGGTTTAGCATTAGAGCTTTCAAAAATATTTATGAAATTTGAGGAGATCTAGTGAATGAATAGTAATAAAATTTTATTTTTTCAGAAGATTATGTGGTCTTTCAAAAACAGGGAAAAAAAGAGATCATAGGTTTATAAACAATTTTGTTCACTTGAAGTTCACTGAATTCCTCATAAATGAATTGAAGTTAGTTGATAAAATATTAATAATTTTTTATTCAATTTCGAACAAAATCTAATGGATATCATGGAAATTTTAAAACGTAAGTTTAATGAGGAGTTAAGACAATGAGTTTTTTTTTCCAAAATAATTCCTGGAGACTTAGAATTTTTAGTAGCAAACAAAAATGATGCATTTTGTTTGTAGATTTTGTTTAGCACCAAATCTACCGAGTGCCGAGTTTGACGATCCAACCTTGCGGAGACTTAGAATTTTTAGTAGCAAACAACAATGATGCATTTTGTTTGTAGGTTTAGCACCGAATCTACCGAGTGCCGAGTTTGACGATCCAACCTTGGAGACTAGCAGGCTTGGCTACTTGACAAGCGAATGATGAACCGAAAGGTGCAAGTGTGTGTGAGAGAGAGAGAGAGAAGAATAACTAGAGATTAAGTTTGATTACAGACCTAGAGGATGCGACATCAGGGACCAAAGATCGAAGTTGAGAGCGAGCACGAGACATTTAAGATCGCGAGAGAGCTTTTTGGTTTGGAAAGTGCTGTTGTGGGCTTAGAAAAATCACGATGCATTTATATTCCGATTCCCACACGAGTTATGGCATCCTTCTTATTCGTAGGTTCGCTAAACCAGAGATCGAACTGCTGGTTCAAGCTGCTCCACTAGCCCATGAGCTGACTCATACATTAGTTTAACTCAAGTTCAATAATGAATGAAGTTATATCTTAGCACGAGCTCGAGCTTGATGCTCGATAAGTTTGGCTCATGAGCCTGCTATCTTCACGAGCTAGCATGACTCACTTGCACCCTTACTCTTGGCATCAACTTTAATTTTTTTAATCTCGTAAAATAATTTATTTAATGCCTTAGACTTCTTTTATTTAATACTCTATTCCTAAAATCTAAACCTTACCTGCATTGTTGTTCGTCTCCAGATCATACATCAATTTGCTATCATTTCTCCCTTGCACCATTGCTATATTAATTTGGATGTTAGTTCTTAGGCTGCTACTCCATCATCATTGGTGTCCTTTTTCACAGCCAGCACCTCTGAGCTCCTCCTTCTAATTCCCATAGTCTATAAAATGCCCAAAATTATTGTCTGCCTAGGCCTTTTGTTTGGGGCTGTTTCCAACATAAAATCCTATGACATTTCTTAATAAAACTTAATTTTTTACTTTTTCTTAAAAATATAGTGGCAAAGTATTTCTTTTTCATCCTTTTTTGCAATACTGGAGAATGCCATTAATTTCAGTGAGAGATTTCTTAGCATTTTGCTGTTCTATCCTTTGTTCCATTATGGTCTATCTCGGACAATTAAGTTTATTTTGGAATGCTTTTGTTAATTTTCATCAACTGCATGCTTTAATTATTTACTTCGATTATTTTGTTTTGCATTTTACTGAATTTCAGGTTCTTCGGGCACCTCTTTCACTCCACATGTAATCGCTGTTAAAGCTGGAGAGGTGATATTTGCTATCATGGTTTGCTGGTTCATTACCATTGAGACTTATGAAATGTTATTTTTGTGACATTTTATTTTAACTGAATCCTAATTAATTTACAGTGATATCATTATTATGACTCGTAAATGAATTATATAATTTTAATAATTTTAATTGAATTTATTGATTAGAACTCATAAATGATTTATTTAAATTTAATAATGTTAATTGAAATTACTGCTCTCTTTTTGTTTGCATTAACTGGATCTAGTTAGCCTACCCATATCATCTCTATAAGTACATACTTTTATTAAACTGTGGTGAGTTTTTGCCTGTAATAGGAACAAAATTTTTCCCTTTGGCAATTAATTTTTTTGGCTTGTTAGGATGAGTTCTCTCTCGCCTTTAATTATTTCTGATAAGTTGGGTGTCCGTGTACCAATTATCAAAATGATTGTTTTTTAGTTTCATATATTTTCTCTCTAGTTCCTATATTATTTTTATTATAAGGTTTTGATTCATGTCTAAACCCATTGCTCACTGATGAAATCACATGAATAGGAATGAATAGACTTTATAGATGCTCACTGATGAAATCACTTGAATAGGAATGAATAGACTTTATAGATGATTTCAAGCACTGACAGTTTCAACAGTCAAAATATTACTTTTATATGAATAGTGGGGTTTTTTTCCCTTCTGCAGGTCATTTTAATGGAATTTTAAGAATATTTTGTTGGTGAATTTAATTATAGATTAAATAGATTTGCCCATGAACTGAAAATTTTCTTGAAGCTCAAACCTCATAATTTTTTTAATATATTAGATCCTTCAAAATTGCGTGCACAATATAGCTTTATATATCTGGGTGCATACCTTTATTTATCTTCATTTTTATATGCACGTGAGTTTATATTCATATCTCTACATATAGATATGAGCACATGTTTGGTTATATATATACAGCTGCTAGAAGGAAAAAAAAATGTTTAGGGTAGCAGTGTTGACTTTTTAGTTTGAGTCAACGTAAAAGTTTATTAATCAGTTAAGTTTAGGTGGAGATGGCATAAAAAATTCAATTTCAAACTAGCACGGTTTGCTAATGCTCGACTAAACAGCATTCAAAATTTGCCTGAAGTTCTTTACTTATTGATATAATGTGGTTGTTCTCAAGTATTTTCCTATATTAGTTAGATTATATTAGGGATCAACTTTACGCCCATATCTTTTTGCTTTAGTTATGGATGCACTTAATGGACATTGACAAGAGGATGTACCTTGGTGTATTCTTTTGTTGATATGCTTTTTGTAGATAAAACTAGAGAAAAAGTTCAGGAAAAAACTTGAAATTTGAAGATCTATGTTAGAGTCTAAAGGCCTCTGTTTGGGTAGATCTAAAACTAATATATGAAATGTAATTTTAGTAGCAGTAGATCTAGTGACAAAGTTGTAATAAAAAGATTATCAAATCATTAAAAAAAGTGAATTTTTTAGATATCTCGGGTCTATTGTTCAAAGTGATGGTGATATATATATCACGGCCTGACTCGGGGTTTGGAATTTATCAAGACGGAAATAGACGATTTGATGGTCGGAAATAAATTTTCGATATTCATTCTCTATATATAATATTTAACAAATGAAAAAAAATCACTAATCAATTTAAATTAAAGCAATATATTTAAAATTACCTCGTTACTGATTGCATGTGTCTTCTAGAAATGGTCTTCTATAAACGATTTCCCTTTTATCACTCGCCTTTTAATCACTTTAAATTTATCTGAAAAGTTGATTTAAAAATAACACTGAGCTTAACAAGTCGGTGATTGCTCAAACTTACAAACTACAATAATACATCTTCTATAAACGATTTCCTTTTTATCACTCGCCTTTGAATCACTTTAAATTTATCTGAAAAGTTAATTTAAAAATAACACTGAGCTTAACAATTCGGTGATTGCTCAAACTTACAAACTACAATAATACAAGGGAGAATGAAGTAATATGCATGTCATTTAAATTTTATAATAAATCAATATAAATATTTGATGATATTTAAAGAGTTTCACTATATCAATAACATATCAATATCATTTCATATTTAATTTTTTTTTTGAAAGCTCAAAGACTAATATATTAAATAAAAAAAAAATATATAACCGTCACAAGAGCAATAAAAACAACAACAAAGCCTTAATCCTACTACGAGGGGTCAGCTACATGAATCCATTTTCTCCATTGCGTTCTATTTAGTGTCATATTTTCATATAGTTCTAATAAATTAAGATAATTTATTATACAATAAGCCCAAGTCTTCCTAGGTCTACCTCTGCCTTTCTTAACATAAGTTGAATCTAAAACATCTATTGTCCTAATCGGATCATCAGAAGATCGACGTTTAATGTGACCAAACCATCTAAGACGACTCTCTCTAAAGAACTGTCATAAGAGTATCGTTTAAAAATTTGTACCAATTAAGACACTTCAATATCAATATTCTTTTCCATTTACGTGCACAGGGTATATTAGTGTTCCTTTACTAGTACCATAACAAGGTGACTCCATCATAGTCGGTCATGCACATATAAGCAATTTGTACAAATCATAGCTTTCATAATTTTTTATCACTCAACATTTATTACTATATTGTATTAATTATTTCATATTATGAGATTAGAAGCAACAACAACAACAACAACAACAACAACAACAACAACAACAACAACAACAACAACAACAACAACAACAACAACAACAACAACAACAACAACAACAACAACAACAACAACAACAACAACAAAGCCTTAATCCCACTACGTGGGGTCGACTACATGAATCCTTTTTCTCCATTGCCTCCTATTTAGTGTCATATTTTCATTTAGTTCTAGTAAATTAAGATCATTTTTAATACAATAAGCCCAAGTCTTCCTAGGTCT